AAAAAAAAGGGCTGGGGATGTGGCTCAGTGGCCCTGGGTTCAATCCCTAGTACCAAAAAAAATAAGAAATGAGGGCTGGGAATGTAGCTTAGTGGTAGAGCACTTGCCTAACATGCTTAAGGCCCCTGGTTTCTATCCTAGTACTGAAAACAAACAAACAAACAAAACACATTTCAGGCCAGGTATGTTGGTGTGCACTGCAGTGACCAGTGACAGCTACTGGGGAGGGATAAGGTAGGAGGATCTCTTGAGCCCAGGAATTTGAAGGCATCCTTGGCAACATAGCTAGACCCTGAATCAATAAAATAATCATGTTCCAATCACATATATGTTAGAAGGAATGGAAAAATGTAGCTACTGTAGAATATACTTAGGTAGTTCTTCAAAAAGTTCAACATACAATTACCATATGACTCAGCAATTCCACTTCTAGAAAGAAGATACTAAAAAATACTTAGACATATGTTCACAATAGCATTATTCACCACAGCCAAAAGATGACACAACCCCAAGTCCATCAATGAATGAATGGATACACATTATGGTATACGCATACAATGGCATATGGCTCAGCCATGAAAAAGAAAAATGCTATATGAAAGAAGCTAGATACAAATGGTCACATATTATATGATTCAATTTCTATGGACTATCTAGAGTAGGTTAAATCCATAGAGGTAGAGGTGGTTGCCAGGGGCTGGGGTGAGGAAGAATGAGGAATAAGCACTTAAAGGACGTGGGGATTCTTCTTGATGAAATATACATCTTTTTTGGTGTGGGGATTGGATCCTGGCATGATTCCACTGAGATACATACTCAGTTCATTTTTGATTTTGAGGTGTAGTCTCACTAAAGTGCTGAGGCTGGCCTCCTACATGCTTTTTTCCTCGGTCAGCCTCTTGAGACTGGGATTACAGGCATGCACCACTGCACCTGGGTATGATGAAAATATTTTGGAACTACATAGAAGTGACAGTTACACAACACTGTGAATCTATTAAATGCCACTGAATGTTCTCTTTAAAGTGGCTAATCGGGGCTGAGGATGTGGCTCAAGTGGTAGCGCGCTCGCCTGGCATGCGTGCGGCCCGGGTTCGATCCTCAGCACCACATACCAACAAAGATGTTGTGTCCGCCGAGAACTAAAATAAATAAATAAATTCTCTCTCTCCTCTCTCACTCTCTCTTTAAAAAAAAAAAAAATAAAAAAATTAAAGTGGCTAATCTAATGTAATGTGAAGTGATGCTGGGGATTGAACCCAGGGCCTTTTGCATGTGAGGCAAGCACTCTATCAACTGAACTATATCCCCAGCCCTGAATTTTAGTGCATTTTTAAAGAATCCATTAAATAAAATAAAAAACAGGAATTACCTACTCTCTGCTGCTACTTTAAAATGTATAAGCAGTGCATCTAAATAAAAGAAAAAAAATTTTTGGCACTGAGAAAAGGAATAGTGTGTATATAAACTTTGACATTACAAATTGATGCTACTTCCTCATATTTCCCACATACAGGAAAGAGCTGACAACATCTAGCTTTACTTGAAGAGTAATTATCACCAGCTGCCAATCTCTTTCAGTCAGTCCATCATGGAAGACTAAAGATTTCCACTTAAACATCGTTGTTTTTTTTTTTTTTTTTGAAACCAAGGGTGCTTTCCCACTGAGCCACATCCCCATTTTTTAAAAAATATTTATTTTTTAGTTGTAGTTGGACACAATATCTTTATCTTATTTATTTTTACCTGGTGCTGAGGATCGAACCCAGGGGTCCTGCTTGCGAGGCGAGCGCTCTACCACTGAACCACAACCCAACACTATCCCAAACCTTTTTGAGAGGATGTCTCATTAAGTTGCTTACAGCCTCTCTAAATTGCTGAGGCTGGCTTTTAAACTCAAGATCCTCCTGCTGGGATTACAGGTGTACGCCACCACACCTGGTGTTGAAAATATTTTATCAGTTGAGGCTGGCTTTGAACTAGTAATCCTCCTGCTTCAGCCTCCGGAGTCACTGGGATTTCAGGTGTGTGCCAGCATGCTTGGCTAACATTTTCTTCTTATATTTAGAGGTAGATTCCGTTTGGCCTAATGACTTCCTTGGTGGCCTCCAGATTCTCTAAAGCCAGGCTGAAAGCGGTTAAATTCAGGCTGCTCAATGGAGGACAATAAACCAGGAACCAAGTAAAAATTATTCACTAGCTTAAAATTTGCCAAGCATTATAACGCAAAATAAGCACTTGGCAAACACCATCTCAGTCCCCACAGCAGCCCAATGGGACAGCTATTATTCACAGCTGGGGTTATCATTATCCCCCTTTTGCAGACAAGAAAACTGAGGTTTAGCAGGTCGATCGCCTTAAGTGAAGGGTGGAGTGAGGTTTGAATTAGGCAATTTGGCTCCTAGGCCCACACTTTCACCTCTTCTCACCATGGCTGTCGTTTTCCTGACCCAGAGCCTTGAGTTTATGTGCGGGTCCTGTAGTTAAGACCCATGGGATGCAAACTGAAGCCACGTCGACTTGAAGCAAGGAAAGCCAAGCGCTCACTATGGTCAAACCTCCAACCTCCTTTCACTGAATTCTCACAGCCCTTCTAAGGGTTGGGCGCATCATAACCCCCAATTTAAAGACAAAATTGAAAATTATGGCCTAAGGTGCAAACAGAATGGGAAGTGGGGCGTCAAATCTCGGGGGAGGCGGCCCATACAATAACATTAGAGGCTCAATAGTGAAGCCTCTAAGCCCAGCCGCAACGAAGATAAGCGAGCCCTACGGGTCGCGCGCAGGAACATGTCAAGCAACCCGGGTCCGCTCTGTTCAGACTAGACTGACCAACGGTCGCGGCGCCGTGTACTCTGGGAAAACCTCAGCGAGGCGCTTTAGAAGGACCCGGGCCACCTCTACCTTAGTTGTCTTAACTGAGGCCTGCGAAATATGTGCCATCATGGCGCTTAGTTTTGTTATTCCCCATCCCGAACGACTGAGACTACAGTTTTAGGCCTTTCAAAAAAAAAAAAGTCTCTCGGTTGAGTCTTTTCACTCGCATATGGCATTTATCCGGACAGCTCCTCTCTCAGGGGGTCCTTCCCAGTTCCCTCAGCAGCTGTCAGTCAACACGAAGTGGCTACCAATCAGCTCCGCGAAGTAGCAGAGTGGGCAGGGCTATCCCTTAAAGGAGCCGCGACCCGTTTGCAGACCAGAGGGTGACCCGGATGATGGCGGCCGGCTCGGCCCTATTCCTGGCCCTGTGGCTGCTATTGCCGCCAGTGGGGGTGGGAGGGGCAGGGCCCCCACCGATCCAGGACGGCGAGTTCACGTTTTTGTTGCCCGCGGGGAGGAAGCAGTGCTTCTACCAGTCCGCGCCGGCCAACGCAAGCCTCGAGGCCGAGTACCAGGTAGAGGGTCCCGGACCCTGGAACTAGTGGGGGCTAGGGGAAGGGGGCGTGGCCAAGCAGCTAGGCAAGGCGTGCATTAAATCGGGAAGCGGGAGGAGCCATTGCATGACGCGGGGGCGGGGCTAGGAAGCGCTTAGCCGGACAGCGTGGCGCGTGGGAGCGGAAGGGGTGGGAATAATGAAGAAGGTGGGGCTACGGTGAGACTGCTGAGGGGGCGGGGCCAATTGGAAGTAAAGGCAGGCATTCAGGGCCGGACCGTCGCGAGTGGGCGTGGCCATATTATATGTAGACTAAAATAAAGGGAGTGGTCAACGTGAGGGTTAGGGTTAGATTGATTTAAAGGAAAGCAAGGCCCTGGCATCTCAGTTGGAGCAGTGCCAAGTAAAGCGCGGCGAGGTAAACATCGATCAAGGACTTTTGACGGGTATGGCCTGATGAAAAAATCCACCCTGAGGCTGTCAAATCAGTGAGGACTAAGGCAGGGCAAAGGGTGCAGCTAGAGGGGCAGTTGGGAGGCACGACCCCCTTGTAGGTATAGGTGTCAGCACTCAGGCCCTCGGTGGTCTGTGTGCATCTGGGCAGGTTGATTCAGCAGGGAACATGAGTTGTAGGTGCCCTTGGTGTACTCCTATCTCTACCCATTCTTACCTGCCCCCTAGGTGATCGGAGGTGCTGGGCTGGATGTGGATTTCACGCTGGAGAGCCCTCAGGGTGTGCTGTTGGTCAGCGAGTCCCGAAAGGCTGACGGGGTGCACACGTGAGTTAAGTCTTGCTCCCTGCCTGGGTTCAGTTACAGCCCTGCCCCTCCGCAGGGGCCTCGGGTTACTGCCCTAGAGTCCCTCTTGCTGGCACTAATGGTCACGTCTGTGTGTCTGTCTGCCCAGTGTGGAGCCTACAGAGGCGGGGGACTACAAGCTGTGCTTTGACAACTCCTTCAGCACCATCTCCGAAAAGCTGGTGTTCTTCGAGCTCATCTTTGACAGCTTGCAAGACGATGAGGAGGTAGAGGGCTGGGCAGAGGCTGTGGAGCCAGAGGAGATGCTGGATGTCAAAATGGAGGACATCAAGGTGCGACCAGGCTGAGCTGGGCTGCGTTTTTGGGCATTTATCAGCAGAGCATTCTACTCTTTCTTGATTTGACTGGTGTCTCCCTCTTGGCCTGACTGACTCACCTACATAGTGCTGTCCCCACCTTAATATTTGAACTTAATGTCAGTTTAAATAATAGCTCATTTCTACGAGTAAATGCTGTTCTAAGGCAAATAATGCATAGTTATGTCACAAATAACTCATATATCAAGTCTCCAAACCACCTCATGAATTAGGGGCTGTGCTGTCTCCCCATATTATAGGTAGTAAATGAATTTGACACAAAATGGTCAAGTAGCTCATACAAGACCACACAACTAGCCACTGTGAGAGCTGGCATTTGAACCCAGGCAGTGTGACTTCAATAATCTTTTTCTTTTTTGATACTGGAGATTGAGCCCAGGGGTGCTCTATCACTGAACTACGTCTCCCAACATAGGGAGATCCCATCTTTATTTTTTAAGATGGGATCTCCCTATGTTGCCTAGACTGGCAAGTTGAACTTGCAGTTTTCCTTCCTCAGCCTCCCAAACTTCTGGGATTACAGGAGTGTGCCACTGTACCTGGGTGCAGCAAATATTCTGTTAATCACTAGTAAATATGTTCCATATACTTGTATCTAGACATTCAACTTTTTTTCTTTTTCTTTTCTTTTTATTTTTTGGTACTGGGAGTCCAACTGAGGATCTTAAGCATGCTAAGAAGGCACTCTACCACTGAGCCTTCTTCCATTGCCCTACAAATTCAACTTCCACAGTAATGCTGAGGTTAATAGAAGAGTGAACAGAGCTGGATGTGGTGGCATGTGCTTGTAATTTCAGCTACTTGAGGCTGATGCAACAGGATTGCAAGTTTGAGACCAGCCCCAGCAATTTTGCAAGACCCTGTCTCCAAATAAAAATGGCTGGGGATGTAGCTCAAAGTAGAGCACTCTTGAATTCAGTCTCCAGTACCAAAGGTGGGGGCAGTGCAGAGAGTGAACTGAGGCCTTTAGGTTATTTAACTTGCTTATAGTCACACAGCCAGTGAGGGGCAGAGTGAGGATTCAGACTTAGGCAGTCTGGCCAAGTTGTGTGTCCCCAGTTCTCTTTCTTGCCCAACATGGCCTTGCTCTTTTCCTCATTTTATTGGAGGCCTGACTCTGTCCCTCACTCTGCAGGAATCCATCGAGACCATGAGGACCCGGCTGGAGCGCAGCATCCAGATGCTCACACTGCTGCGGGCCTTTGAGGCTCGGGACCGCAACCTGCAGGAAGGCAACCTGGAGCGGGTCAACTTCTGGTCAGCTGTCAATGTAGCAGTGCTATTGCTGGTGGCCGTGCTGCAAGTCTGCACGCTCAAGCGCTTCTTCCAGGACAAGCACCCGGTACCCACGTAGCCCCTGCCCTGGAGGACAAACTGGAAAAAAGGGGCAGCCAGTGTGAATTGGGGGTTTTTCCCCATGTAGTTTCCTGCAGGAGGGGAGGCTGTGCAGTGAGCACCACAAGTGTGGCCCTGTGCAGCTCCTTTCCTGGGTTGTGCAGAGAGCACCACTGGTTTGCAAACCTGGGCCCCCCAAAGGGGCAGTTCAGCATCGGCTTCTACTTTCCTGGAAATTGTGCATGGTGGGTGACGCAGCATTGGAATGCAACCCTTGGATTTCCTGGCCCTGCCTCCTGTAAATGTGCCTTAGCTCAAGTCTTCCAGCCTGCATCAGCACTACCCAGAGTGGGACAGGCCCAGGAAGCCAACTTCCCCGAGTCCCCACCTGGGCTCCCCAAGCCAGCTTGTGGTGGGAGGGTGCCTGCTACTTGTGGGACCCTAAGCCTTAGTTTCTCTCCTAGGCTGGGGGCGGCCTGCTCATGTCAGGGGTTGAAAAGGAGACAGGGCTGCAGATTTCTTGCCAGGATAGTCACTTTATTTGACAGGAAGAGGCCCTGGCCCCTCGGCCCAGCGGGGGGCCTGCTGAGTGTGAGGTCTGGTAACAGAACTCCAGGAGAGGGTCTGCAGGACCACCCACCCCTCCCTGTGCAAGGGGCCCAGACAAGGCTGAGGGGTGGTCTGGCCAAAGCCTGTGCAGGAGCCCCAAGGAACAAAGGGTGGTCCGGCCTGCATACTGGAGTCAATAAATTATGGTCAGAAAATCTCACAGAGCCTGGTGACTGGGGCTCAGGGACACCAGCTGGGACAGACCTGCCCCCAAGAGGGCAGCCAGGCAGGCGGGAGGGATCTCCCACGAAGCTCAGAAGAAAGGTCGGGCGGGAGCCGATGGAGGTGGTCGCCTGGGCACAAAAGAAAAATCAGAAAGCAAAGTTTAACTGTGTCCCGGGCTGGGCAAAAAGGCCTGGGTCCCCCAAGAGAGCAAGAGAGGGAGAAGAGGGACCTGGAGGCCTGGAGGGGTCAGACCATGCAGGGTCTGGGTAGCAGCTGGGATTCCTGTTCTACCTCAGCACTGGGTCACCTGCAGCAGCCAGGCGTGGGGCTGGGGGCTTGGGGGGTGAGCGGGGAGTATCTGTTCTGATTCTGAGGTACTGAGGAAGGTGAAAGCTCTCCCTTGGTGTCAGGCTTCCTCCAGAAAATGACTGTCCAAGAGCAGAGCAGAGCCCCTGCTAGGTGAGGTTACAGGGCTCCTCATGGAAGGGAAAGGGGTCCTGGTGAGAGGCCCAGGAGAGGCTAGGCTACAACCTCAGCCTGAACACCGACACAAAAGGCCCACACAGCAGCCACCAGAAGGTTCTTCCCTTTATTTTAGTTTATTAATAGGATACAGAGTGCAGGCACTTACAGTGGTCAAACCGAGAAAGGAGTGAGCAAGAAGTTCTGCTCTGAGAGAGGTGCCTGGAGCCCGCCTGGTAGGAGGAGGCCTGACGGGAGCTGAGAGACTCCCAAAGCCTCCGCAACCCACACAGAGCCCAAGCCCCCCTGAGGGTCCCAGAAGAAGGAGGGCACCCAGAGAGGAAAGAGTGAGGCTGGCCTGGGCTGAGAGTTCCAGGCCTGGTGAAGGCACCTCTGGCAGCCAAGCCTCGGCTGGGCTCAGGCTGGGCTCAGGCTGTGGTTAATATGGCCTAGGAAGGAATATGTACAACTTGGGCCCGGTGGACAGTCCTGCGCCCACTGGGCCTGGCTTCTGCTGGGGAACTCCCAGTGAGAGAGGTGGAAATACTCCTTGTCCCACAAGGACTAGGGGATACAGATGCCCTTGGCACCCCGGCTTCCAGAAAGCCTGTTCCTATATGAATATCTCTGGCCAGAGAAGCTCCTGGCAGAGTCCCTGCTACCACAGCCGGGATCCCTCATTCAAGTTGGTATCCAAGGTGGTTACTCCTGCTGCCACCCTGAGACCCTACCCCGCAAAGTGCAGTGCCCTGGAACCCCCTTGCCTGGGGCTCCGGGGCCCCTTCATTCTAGTGTCCAGTCCAGAATGGGGGCCAGGCCAGCCCGTGACTGGGGCCAAGTTTAGGGAGGAAGAGGCAGGGGTTGCCCACGGGAGCCTGGTCCCAGAATAGGGGCAGGAGGGCCAGGGGCA